GCCCTGTGGAGCAGCACCCGGCTCATCCCTCCCCCCAGCCCCTTTCCCCAGAGCCCCCCGCCTGGTCCCTGCCCACCCTGGGCCTCTGGCAGCTCCTTGAGCCCACCCGAGGACGGCTCCCAGGAACCTTGGGCCGGTGCCACCCACTCCCCGGGGCAGCTCTGGCCCCGGCCAGCCCCTGCTCTGCTTGGCAGTGCCAGTCCTGTGCCTCCAGAGCTGGAGCCGTCCCCTTCTCTGCAGCCTTATCTGCCTCTGCCTGCAGGTCTCCTGCCCGGGCACCTTGGTGTTCTCTTCTCCCCCTTCCTGCTCCTTTAGCCCCTTTCTAAGGGGAGCTCTGCCCGGCACTCCCTCTTGGCCCCAGATCAGGTCCTACAGCAGCACCACTGCTGGTGATCTCCCCAGCTGAGATGCACCCAGGGCTGGAGCAGGGGGAAATATCTCGCTCAGGCCCCTCAGCCCCACCAAGGCCATCCCAGGGGAATTTTCACCACCGCTGCCCCCTCTCCGTGCCTGGGATCTCCAGAGTGACACCACGGGTCCGGGTGCCCGGCCACCCGAGCTGCCCACACGTGGAGCTGCCACCTCCTGGACTCCCAGCTTTGCCCACTGGTGTGGGCCTGGAAACGTGTCTCTGTGGCACAGGACAGCACATCACCCCCGAGCCACGATGGGAGGACCTGGTCCTGATTGATCTGTGGAGATCTTCACTCCCTTCCTTTGCCCAGCCCTCCAAAGGGGATTTTAATCAACCTAAAATGAGAATGGATAGATGGCAGCTCAAGGCAGGAGCCTGAGGCTGGAGGGTGGCTTCAGAGAGAGTCTCAACGCATTTGCCATTTAGGCATCTGAGACCTGTGCCCCTGTTCTGCTGCTGTGGTCTTAGGGGCTCACAAATGGTTTGGCTGGGGGTTTACTTGTTGCTTTTTCCTCCTTTTGCACATGGTGTGGCTCTCCCCAAAGGGCTGCCCGGCCTGCCAGGGCACTTTGCAGCAAAACCGCTTGCAGGAGGCCAGTGGAAAGCCCTGAGTGAACAAAAGCATCTGCTCATAGTTAACCCCGGGGCCAGGAGGAATGCCCGGGGGAAAGCAGCACCCTCGGTGCCCCGGCTGCCCGGCTGGGAGCTGCTCTCCCGGCTCGCTCCCAGACTGAAGGAGTTTCTGCTCCCTCTGGTGGCTCCAGCTCCAGCCTCTCCTCTCCCCGCGTCACCCGATTTGGGCTTCCTGGGTGATGGGGCAGCCGGGGGGCATCGAACGCCCCTGGACAGGCAGCACTTTCTTGCAGCCAGCAGGGAAATTCAGTCCACATGTGGCAAATAAGTTCATGCCCCCCTTGTCCTTAGGCACTGTGAGCCCCCAGATGGAGGCAGCCAGGTCAAATACTTCACTCTGTGACTTTTTGCTGCTTCTTCAAAGTTTTTGCCCCGTGCTGCAGGCAAGGGCTGGGCAGGGAGTCTCAGGACACGCAGGGCTGGGTCCCTTTGGAGCCCACAGCACTTGCCAGTTTGGGCAACCAGCTGCTGGGCAGGATGAGCCCCTAGGGAAGAGGACCTGTGAGACAGGTCAGATCTGTGGGGTGCACAGAGCCCAGCAGAGCTCCCACATCTCTCTCTAGAAGCAGAAAACTTCATCTTCCTTCCCACAAAGCATTCAGACGTGCTCGTGGGGGGGCAGAGTGCATGGGGCCAGGCTGCTGCGTGCCCAGGAGCACCACACGATGGGGAAAGGCCACGCAGGCAGCACTGCCAGGCAGGACCTGGGCAGGAATAGCAGGAATCTGGATGCCCTAAAACTGGCTAATGGGATCTGCAGTGTGAAATGGCCCCGGGATCTGGAGCAGGGAGATCTAGAGGCTCCCAGGAAGGAGGTCTGGGGTTTGTATGGTGTCCCAGCCAAGGTACAGCCCTTTTTGCATGGGGGTGGTGGGCTTCTCCTAATCCCCATTCCCAAATCCTCACTACCAAGTCTGGGGAAGGGAGCTGGACCCCTGGGCTGAGCAGAGCCCCCGAGGCCACGGGAGGACAGCAGCCCCCACAGGGACAGTGGGGCTGAGCTGGGGAGTGATGAGGCAGCAAAACCCCTTCTTCTAAAGCCAGGGGAAGTCCCCAGCTCCTGAGACAGAGTGCCCAGCTGCATCCCACCCTCAGACACCATCACAGCTCTGGGGCAGGGGCTTATCCCCCACCTCTCCCCACGTGGGTCTCACACAGCACCCTGCACATCACAGCATCCAGCACCACCAGGCTATGGCTGGAGCTCTCAGCACCCACACGAGCTTGTTTTCCACTGCCTGGCTGTTCTGTGTGCTGGATCATCTTGGCTCAGGGTTGTGCCATTACTGTCCCCAACCCCTGTGGCTTGGTGGGACAGAGCATCCCAGGGCTCCAGGGGAACAGCCCTTTTCTCCCTCTGCCCCGAAGCCTGTGTTTGAGTGCCTCAGTTTCCCCATCTCTGAGCAGGACCTTGGTACTGCAGGGGAACAAGAGGTTTATAAAACCCCTTTGGGAAGCACCCACAAACAGCTCCAGCGTTGCCACAGGAACAATTCCTGTGCAGATCCAACTTCCTGTACTTGCTTTATACAGGAGCAATTCCTGAGGGCACAGAGCAGGGGGAAATAATATGAGTGAGAAGAAAATCAGGTTGAAATGATCAGATTCAAAGCTGAACTTCCCTCCCTCTGCAATGTCCAACTGCTGCTTTCACCAGCTCCAGTCCTTGGCTGGGTCTCACTCAGCTCCCAGTTCATTCCACAGAAATATTCCCATTTGCTCCAGTGCTCCGGGGAGGGGAGCTGAGAACCCACTTTACACGGTCATGCCTTTGCTCTCTCTCCCCTTAAACCCTTGAACCCCGAGGCAGCTCAGCCTGGATTTAACACCCTGGCTGCCTTTCAGGCAAGAGTTAATAAAAGGAGGGAGGGAGCAAGATTTTGCAAGA